GGTGTCAAATAAATACCTATCAATAATAACTGTAAATGTAAGTGAATTAAATGCTCCAGTCAAAAGACATAGATTGGATAAGAAAACAAGACCCATATATCTGTTGTCTACAAGAAACCCACTTCAGAAAAAAAGACGCACACAGACTGAGGGTGATGGGATGGAAAAAGGTTTTCCAGGAAAATGGAAATGAAAAAAAAGCTGGGGTAGCAATACTTATATCTGACAAATTAGACCTCAAAGTGAAGGACATAATAAGAGATAATGAAGGCCACTTCATAATACTAAAGGGAGCAATCCAACAAGAAGAAATAACCCTGGTAAACATATATGCACCCAATATAGGAGCACCCAAATACATTAATAAAAAACAAAAACTGCTGGAGGACATTAAGGGAGAGATTAATAGCAATACAATCATAGTATGAGATTTTAATACCCCATTTTCACCTTTGGACAAATCATCTAAATGAAAAATCAGCAAAGAAATATCAATCCTAAATGACTCACTAGACCAGATGGAATTAATCGACATCTTCAGAACATTTCACCCCAAAGCCACAGAATATACATTCTTCTCAAGTGCACATGGGACATTCTCAAAGATAGACCACATATTGGGACATAGGCAAAGTCTCTTCAAATTCAAGAAGATAGAAATCATATCAAGCATCTTCTCAGATCATAGCGGCATAAAACTGGAAATTAACTACAATAAAAATAATCCAAAGAAATCAAACACGTGGAGATTAAAGAGCATGCTATTAAACAAGGACTGGGTTACCAGAGAAATCAAGGAAGAAATTAAAAACATCCTGGCAACAAATGACAATGAAAACACAACTATCCAAAATCTATGAGACACAGCAAAAGCAGTTTTGAGAGGGAAGTTCATATCTCTACAAGCCTATTGCAAAAAACAAGAAAAAATGGTAACAAATTACCTAACTCTACAACTGAAAGAGTTTAAAAAAAAAAAAAAAGAGCAACAAGAAAAGCCCAGTGTAAGCAGAAGGAAGGAAATAATAAAAATTAGAACAGAGATAAATGACATAGAGACCAAAGAAATAATACATAAGATCAACAAAACCAAGAGCTGGTTCTTTGAAAGGATAAACAAGCTTGATGAACCTCTAGCCAGGCTAACCAAAAAACAAAGAAAGAGGACCCAAATAAACAAAATTAGAAATGAAAGAGGTGAAATAACAACAGACCTCGCCAAAATACAAAGGGTTGTAACAAAATACTACGAACAGCTCTATTCCAACAAACTGGACAAGCTGCAGGAAATGGACAGATTTCTAGAAAAATACTCAACCAGGAAGAATCTAAAAACCTCAATAGACCAGTGACTTGGGAAGAAATTAAAACAGTCATCAAAAAACTTCCAGCAAACAAAAGCCCAGGGCCAGATGGCTTCACAGGAGAATTTTACCAAACATTCAAGGAAGAACTAAAACCTATCCTCCTCAGACTATTCCAAAAAATTCAAGAGGAAGGAACACTTCCAAACTCCTTCTATGAAGCCAGCATCACCCTAATACCAAAACCAGATAAAGATAACTCAATGAAAGAGAATTACAGATCAATATCCCTCATGAACTTAGATGCCAAAATCCTCAACAAAATTCTAGCAAATTGGCTCCAGTAGAACATCAGAAAGATCATACACCATGACCAAGTAGGATTTATTCCAGGAATGCAAGGTTGGTACAATATCCACAAATCAATAAACGTGATACATCATATAAACAAATTGAAAGATAAAAATCATATAGTCATATCAATTGATGCAGAAAAAGCATTTGATAAAATCCAACACCCTTTCCTGATAAAAACTTTCAACAAGGTGGGAATACAAGGATCATACCTCAACATAATAAAAGCTATATATGATAAACACACAGCTAACATCATACTCAATGGGCAAAAACTAAAACCATTCCCTCTAAGAACAGGAACAAGACAGGGATGCCCACTCTCACCACTCCTGTTTGACATAGTACTGGAAGTACTAGCCATTGCAATTAGACAAGAAGAGAAAATAAAAGGCATCCAAATTGGAAAAGAAGGAGTAAAGTTATCCTTATTTGCAGATGACATGATATTGTACATAAAAAATCCAAAAGACTCCATAATAAAACTAATAGACTTAAATGAATTTGGCAATGTAGCAGGATACATAATTAATGCCAAGAAATCTATGGCATTTCTACACACCAATAGTGAACTTATGGAAAAAGAGACTAAAAAGGCAATCCCATTTACCATTGCACCAAAAAATTAAGATACTTAGGAATAAACTTAACTAAGGAGGTAAAAGACCTATATGTGGAAAACTACATGACACTGAAAAAAGAGATAGAGGAAGATGTAAACAGATGGAAGAACATACCATGTTCATGGATTGGTAGAATCAACATCATCAAAATGTCCATACTTCCTAAAGCAATCTATAGGTTCAATGCACTCCCCATTAAAATACCAATGACATATTTCAATGACCTAGAAAAAACTCTCCAAAAGTTCATTTGAAACAACAAACGACCCCGAATAGCCACAGCAATCCTGAGAAAAAAAGAGTAAAGGAGGAGGGACCTCAATACCAGATTTCAGGCTGTATTACAAAGCCACTGTTCTCAAAACAGCCTGGTACTTGCACAAGAACAGACATATAGATCAATGGAATAGAATTGAGAATCCAGATATCAACCCAAATCATTATACTCAGTTAATCATTGACAAAGGAGGCACGAACATACAATGGAGTCAAGACAGTCTCTTCAATAAATGGTGTTGGGAAAATTGGACAGATACATGCAAAAGAATGAAACCAGATCATCAACTTACACCATACACAAAAATAAATTCAAAATGGATACAGGACTTAAACATAAGACGGGAAACCATAAAAATACTAGAGGCATCCACAGGCAGCAAAATCTCAGACATATGCCAAAAGAACTTCTTCACTGATATTGCCCCTAGGGCAATGAAAGCTAAAGAGAAAATAAACAAATGAAACTACATCAAAATAAAAAGCTTTTTTACAGCAAAAGAAACCATCAACAAAACAACAAGAAAGCCCACTGTATTGGAGAACATATTTGCAAATGTTATCACTGATAAAGGTTTAATCTCCAACATCTACAGACAGTTTACACAACTTAATAAAAGGAAGATAAATGACCCAATTAAAAAATGGGCAATGGATCTAAATAGAATCTTCTCAAAAAAAGACAGAAGAAAGGCCAAGAGGCACATGAAAACATGCTCAAAGTCACTAATTATCTGAGAGATGCAAATCAAAACAACAATGCCGTAACATCTCACACCTTTCAGAACGGCCAACATTAACAAATCAACAAACGACAAGTGTTGACAAGGTTGCAGAGAAAAAGGAACCCTCGTGCACTGCTGGTGGTAATGTAGATTGTTGCAACCACTATGGAGAACAGTATGGAGCTTCCTCAAAAAACTGAAAATGGAACTCCCATTTGACCCAGTAATCCCACTCCTAGTAATATATCCCAATCAGAAAGGGTATATGCACCCCTATGTTCATAGCAGTACAATTTACAATAGCTAGGATTTGGAAACAGCCTAGGTGCCCATCAGCAGATGATTGGATCAAAAAACTATGGTACATCTACACAATAGATTATTATGCTACCATAAAAAAAGAAGAAATTCTCATCATTTGCAGTAACCTGGATGGAACTGGAGAACATCATGCTGAGTGAAATAAGCCAGTCAATGAAAGAGAAATACCACATGACCTCACTTATTTATGGATGATAAAGAACATTATAAACTGAAGAATCAAAAGATAGACATAGAGACAGTAAAGCAACAAGCAGACTGTCAAATTACAGTGGGGAGATTAGGGAGATTTGGGGGAGATAAGAGATCAACAGAAGGACTTGTATACACTCATATAAATACAACCAATGGACACAAAACTCTGGGGAGGGAGGGCATGTATGGGAGCGGGGGGCAATGGTATATGTACAAAGATAATAATTAATTTTTAAAAAATTAAAAAAAAGTCATCTTGACATCTCTGAGCTTCCTTTGGAGCTCTGTGACCTCTAATCTCAACATACCACACCCCAGCATGTACCAATATCTGGAATATAAGTCCCGGACTAGACCCTGATTATGTGAATGCTTCTATTACTAAGCCTTCCACAATGCTTCCTGTTTCCTAAAAAGGATTGTTAGCTTTTCTGGATGAAAATCACATTTCTTTCTTTTTAAAAAAATATATATTTTATTGATTTTTTACAGAGAGGAAGGGAGAAAGATAGAGAATTAGAAACATCGATGAGAGAGAAACATCGATCAGCTACCTCCTGCACAGCCCCTAGATGGGATGTGCTCGCAACCAATGTGCATGCATGCCCTTGACTGGAATCGAACTTGGGACCTTTTAGTCCGCAGACCGACGCTCTATCCCCTGAGCCAAACTGGTTTCAGCTGAAAATCACATTTCTGATGCAATAAATCACGGGTCTTCTGTCTCCTCAGAAGACTTTCCACCCTGAATTATCTCCTTTACTTCTTTTATCTCTGCTACCATGAGAGCATGCTTGGGCTTCTCTTAATGGAAAACAAAATGCGGCCCTCTCTTTCCTCCCCCACCTTACCATTCCAACATTCACTACCAATATTTTCAAAGCAACCTCGCCATCTGCCCAGCAGTCTCTCTGGCACCAGTTCTCTGGGTTCATGGCCCTCCCCTCTGCTTCTTCCCTTCATCATCCGTGATGAACCTCACACCAGTCATTCCAATGTAGGAGCTAGCTCTCTCCTAGCAGAGCTTCGCTTTTCTGTCCTGATCTCTAAATACTCGATGAATTTAGTCATCCGTTTGCATCAGCTCTAAATGGATGTGTGATGAACAGTTCAGTGATGGCCAAGAGAAAACATGATTTAAACGTATGGAAAATGACAAAAGATGCTATTAAATTCTTTTTTCTCTCGCCTTTATTTTCCAGTGAGTTCTTCATGCCCGGGCTGGTGGATACACACATCCATGCCTCTCAGTACCCCTTTAGTGGGAGTAACGTAGACCTGCCGCTTCTGCAGTGGCTGACCAAGTACACGTTTCCCACAGAACTCAAGTTCAAGAACTTGGACTTTGCTGAGGAAGTATATACCAAAGTTGTCGTAAGTGTCCCGCTTGTGAGTGCCGGGGTATGATGCTTGGTCGCCTGTAGAAACATCCATTTCTTGGGAGCATGTCTTAAGTATAAAACACAGGCAGGTAAGGCTAGAATGGGCTACAGAAGTTTATTTTAGTTCTCTCACAGCCCAGTGAGTTTGTGGCTACCTCATCTACATAGCTTGTTACTGGCAAAGAGCGGACTTGAGTTCAGATTCCCAGATTCCCCAATTGGATGGGCTGTCATCACTCTCCATCTTTTACTTTTTGTGTGTTACTTCACTAAAGTTGGGTTGAATGCATTTGTGTGTTCCCTTACTCCTGCTAATTCACAATACTGTTCTGGGGACCCTATAGAATAGCTGAGTAACCTTTGGAAAGTTCTGCAGCTCGTCTTCCCTGTGTGTGTGTGTGTGTGTGTGTGTGAGAGAGAGAGAGAGAGAGAGAGAGAGAGAGAGAGAGAGAGAGAGAATGAATCTATTTCACTGGATTGTTATGATAATTAAACCAGTTAATATTTGTAAGGTTCTTAAAATAGTACCTGACAGATGGAAAGCGTTCTATGTGTTTGCTTTAAAAAATATCCAAGGCAATTAAAAATTAAAAATTTAAACTGCAGTTAGAAGGCGTCATGCTATTTTAGTAACTTTGCAAAGAGGAAAAATAGGATGGTCTCTTTCCTGGGCATATGGGATTGTGATGAGCATTAGCACCACTAGAGGGAACTATGGGGCTAGTTCAGTCATTGAACAGTGGCTGTAGTGTGTGCCCACTGCAGACTCCAAAAATACCCTTCCTTTCACTCTCCCAAGAAAATCGTTTCCCATCTTTCTTTCCCAACCTTATGCCCAAGCCACTTAGCAGCCAGAAACAGCTTCTGCAGTTGAGAAATAAAGCTGCAAATACCTCCTTATCTGACCACTGCCTCTTATCATTCAGTACACATAGTCTGAATAATCCTGCATTTTTGCTGGATTTTCTCCTAAATTGATGGCTATGAGTTGGTGGCAAAATTGTAAGCCTTATATATTACCCAGTTATCCTGCCAGTTTCCTGGTTTTGTGTCACTCAAGCTTTGAAGAATAAAGCAACTGCTATCATTTATACACCTGCCTCACTTCATTATAAATTCAGTGTAATTGTGGGTTTTCATATTTAGCATGCATCCTCCTGACACCAGGAAAAACTGAGGACTAAAGTTGTCTATGGAGCTGTATTGTGCCAATGAATTGTGTTAACCACACCAAAGCTTTTTATTTTCAAAATTTATTTTTGCCTTGCATTGTTCTAAAAAGGGTTTGAGATATCTTAAAATTGCATAGTATCCAACAGAAGAAAATGAGTCACCAAAGCTTGGCAAAGAAAAAAAGAGAAGAGGAAAAATAAAATAAAACCAAGAGGTAAATGTATGCCATGGGGATCCAAGCATTTGTTATAGTTTGTCACAAATTTGGCTTTAAATGTCTAGGTAACCCAGAGAGAGAAAATCAGTTTTGAATTTTACACTGTATGATTAAAAAAAACATATCTATTTATCATACTAAAATTTAAGAGAAATATTCCAATATAGTTACATGCTCTGATGTCAAAATATATACTGTCAAGATACTATAGTATAAAAAAAAATCCAGATATGTACATTTTTTTATGTTTGGAGGGAGTATCTAGAAAATGTATTTTTAGGCCATAGTCCATAAATTTTATTTCTTAAATCAGACAAAATTGGGCATGTTCAGGGTGGTATGGCCATAGACTTATTTCTTAAATCAGAGATTTGAGTAAGAATTTGATGCCAGTGAGTACAAGATAGGTATTATTCTCAACAGGTATTTGTAGTTCACACATCCAATATTTTTTATTATGAGCAGGCCCACACATTTTGAGAATTGCATGAGCCAAGGTTATGGCTAAGAAAGTTCAGATTTGTTAATTAGAGCCTGTCCTTAGGCTGAAGACTGCCCATGGCAATGTATAAGGGTGCTAAGGCAGTACCATGAATAGAATCGAGACATTTTTGTTTTTTTATTTTCTCCTTCAGAAAACAGTTCTAGATCTATACTTCAATAAATTGGCAATCAAGACCACAGAGTTTTGCACCATAGAGTTGTTTTTTGTTTTTTTCTTGTGTTCTTTTTTTATATCCATAGGTAATATTTACATTGTCCTCATTGCTAAATAACTGAAATTTTCCACTGTGATTCCATCTTCAAGTCCAGATTTTAGAAAAGTGATTAAAATTTTGAGAATTTAGAAAATGTTTGCTAATACTTCTGTTTTAATTTTGAGTTTCACGTTACTCTGACAAGCGAATATAATATAATTTGTATGATTATTTTTCTTGAAAAGTGATTTATTTTGTTTATGACCCAACAAAAGGTTAATTTTTATAGTTATCTGTATATTTTTTTTTAAAGATTGTGTTTTCTCTGTTGGCATGACAGTTTTTACATCTTTATTGGACTAAGTTGTTAAAGTGTTAAACAAGACATCTAGTATTTTCCTCCATTCAAGGCAAGAATCTTACATACCCTTCCCTTCTTCATGTTATACCCTCCTCACCATGTTCTGTGATATATCACCTGAGATTTTTGTTCCAGTTTATTTTTTACCATGTGCACTTAATTTAAAATAAGTTTTAACTTTCAGATTTGCTATTTAAAATTTTATCTTAATTTAATTCCAGTTTATTATTTTTCAACATCAGCACTTAATTTAAAAATGAACTTTACTTCTTCTTCTTCTTCTTCTTTTTTTTTTTCTATTTGGATCCCCTGTCTTTCTTTTGGATTCATTTTTTTATTTTCTTGGAATCCCTTTTCAATAAAGTGGGTGATAAACATTCTAACTCCTTGAATTACCAAAAATGGTTTTACTTTCTTCTGAATGATGATGCACTTTTGCTGTAGAGAGAATTCTACTTGAAATGATTTTTCCATCAACATCTAATATGCTGATGCCAATCTGATTATCTTTCTATTCTGGCTAATTTGCTGGCCTTCAGGATGTTCTGAAATTTCACTTATAGATTTTTTTCCCCAGTTCATTCTCTTTCATATATAGTTTATTCAATGTGAGAACTACTGTCTTTCTTTTAATTTGGAAAATTTATTTCTCTCTCTTTCTCTCTGAATATATTCTTCCCTGCAATCCACTCTTTGTTTTTGGTAACCCCTATTAGAAAAAAACGTTAAAGCTTCTATATATGCTTTTGTATTACATTCTTAAAGAACACGAGGTCTAATTTTGCAAGTCATTCATTCATTCTGCTGTTATTATAGCCTGTCCTCTTGCAAGGACACCATGCCCTGTTCTATTTATCTAAGAGCTGGAGGCGTGGTGCACAAATTTATGCACAGACAGGGAGAAGGAACATGGGAGGTTGGCTGGTAGAAACTGCCCCCTGGTCAAACTCCCAGTCGAGGGGACGATTTGCATATTAGCCTTTTATTATATAGGAAACTGATTTTATGTCTCTTATTGCTTAGTAATCAGCTTCCTTGGGTGTTCATTCAGTTAATATTTACTGAGTGCACTGAATCCAGACACTTTCAGAGTTGCTGAAGGTTGGATTCAATGTCTCTGTCTGGTACTAGCTCTTCCCCTGGACTTGTGATTCTGATAGAGGGCTCATCCTCATCTTTAGCTGATGGGCTCTAATCATCCTCTATTAGCAGCCAGATGTATTTTATTCATATGCAAAGTGTCTTAAGATTTGAAAAGATTGACATAAAAAAAATCCAGCTTTTCAAATTCTCTTCACCGATGGGACTAACCAATGATGTCACTGGGCTTTCATTTGCTTTCCTCAACATTTGGCTGGCTCAGAATAGAGACTTCTGTTTAAAATATAGGGTATGTTCTTGCTTATTATTTAAGTTCAAAGTATTTTTCCCCCATGAGGGGTTTTCTTTTAATTTACCCTACAACCTTCTATTGACTTCCAAATTTCACTTATAAAATGTTTACTTTTGGAGAGTACTTATTCTTTGATTTTCATAGCATTCTGTTCTTGTCATGTAGATGTAATTATCTTCTTTAATTCTTTCAGATAGCAATCATAGTTTTGTTTTGTTTTTGTTTTTAGTCAAGCTTCCTTCTGATGCTGTTTCCTCCAGATTTTTTCCAGATTTTCTCTCCCCTTTCTCCTTTTCATAGCAGCTCTCCTCCAGAGTCTGTTAAACTTTGAACATACATTCACATTTATTTATCTTTTTATTTATTTTTAAACTAGAGGCCCAGTGCATGAAATTCATGCATGGGGGGGGGGAGGGGATGGTCTCCTCAGCCCACCTTGCACCCTTTCCAATCCGGGACCTCCTCATAATCAGGACCACTGCTCACCTGCCTGGCTTCCTGATCACACCTAACTGCCCCATGCTGTCCTGGGCATCCCAATTTCTCCCCCTGCAGGCGTAGTCAGTCCCAACTGCCCCCCCCCCCCCCCCCACACACACACCGGCCTAGTCGCCCCTTAGTGCCCCCCCACTGGCCTGGTCACTCCTTAGTGCCCTCCCTGCTGGCCTGGTCACCCATTACTGTACCCCCTGCCAGCATGGTCACCCCCAACTATCTCCCCACCCCCGCCAGCCTGGCCATCCCTCACTCTCCCCCACCCCCACCAGTCTGGTTACTCCCAACTGCCCCCTCTGCTGGCCTGGTTGCCCCATGCAGCCTACTGTTTGGTCATTTGGTCTCCCCTCACTAACCCACACAGCCTGTTTGGTCATACGTTCGGTTGTTTCCAGTGCAATGGTCACATATATATATATATATATATATATATATATATATATATATATATATACATATATACTTTTTTTAAAAAATTGATTTCAGAGAGGGAGAGGGAGATAGAAACATCATGGTGGGAGAGAATCATTATTGTCTGCCTCCTGCAAGCTGCTACTGAGGATGGAGCCCACAACTTGGGCATGTGCCCTGAATGGGAATTGAACCATGACCTCCTGGTTCATAAGTTGCCACTCAACCACTGAGCCATGCCATCTGGGCCATACTTTCTGGGTGGAGATAGCTCTTGCTGACTAGTGAACTTCATGTTAAGATGAACAGTGAGAGAAGTAAATAGCCTTTTCAATTGTCATTGTGAGGACATCTTTCTTGTAGAGCCACTCATCTTCACTGGGGAGGAGTCCTTCAGTCTTGCCAGGACTGGTGGTAGTAATACGTGTGGCATTTTAGCAAGCTGACTGAAGGCCCCTGGAGATCAGCCAGATTTTCTCTTCAATCTCTTCTTTTCAGACTGTGCCTTGCCTTGTCCTTTGGGGCTTACATACTCCAAATACTACTCAATTTCTACAAAGAGTAAATCTCTCCTGCAAGGAGCAGGTTAGGGGTGATTGGCTGATTTCAACAGGAAGAAGAAGCGTTTTGTCAGGGCTTGGTTTTCTGTAGACGAACTTGGAGCCAACTCCCTGTTAACAACTCTCTCTTCTCTCTCTCGCTAAGGAAGAGAGATATGTATGTGACCAATCTGCCAGCTTGAACAAGAAGTCTGGCTAAATTATTTTATCCTGTAATAGACAAAAAAAAAAATATCCTTTATTCACTCCCAGATGCAATATGTTTGCATATGCTCAGCCAAAACTTAAAGATAAGGAATTAATTAGCATCTTATTTAATGAATTCTGCAACACAGAACTATATGAATCAAGAAAATCAAAAATATCAAGTTCTCATCCAGCTCACACTTTTGGAAAATTAGTACATTTGCCATTTATCTGAACTGTATTTCATATCAAGGTGGCATATCTTTAAATAAAAACATTTTAAAATTGGGACCTAGAATTTTATTTTCATCTGTATATGCCACGTGACTTTCTTGGCACATGCGAATTATGGTTTTTGTGGTGTATTTTTAGAGAAGAACACTGAAGAATGGAACAACCACAGCTTGTTACTTTACAACAATTTACACTGACTCATCACTGCTCCTTGCGGAAATTACAGGTGAGAAGATGAAGGCACACTTTGTGGGCACATCCTGCAAAGCCAGCCAGACCATGTCTGGCAGGGAGTTAAACTTGTGTGCAATCTTGCCTTTTAATTACTGAAATTTGACATTGCATTCCCTGCAAACAATTAGGTGTCTTTGTATTACTGGGGCCCCTGGATGTTTTTTATTGTTTAGGTAATTTGATTATTCACTTATGGTTTTTGGTTCCAGAATGATGTGTATAGGTCTGAATTTTGTGTATTATGTTAGGGCTTTTTGGAACAGGTTTATTAATTCTAGTAATGGCAACAGTTTATTATAATCAACAGACATATATCTTGGCAATTGGTTAGACTTAGGGCACTGTGCAAATCGCTGGGAACAAAAGAGCCAGATAGGACTAATTGATGAATAACTACACACATTGATTAGTAACTTTAGGAGAAGATGTAGTGTCCTTTAAAAAATATTTTTTTATTGATTTCAGAGAGGAAGGGAGAGAGAGAGAGAGAGAGAGAGAGAGAGAGAGAGAGAGAGAGGAAGAGAGGAAGAGAGAGAGAGAAAGGAAGAGAGAGAGAGAGAGGAAGAAAGAGAAATATCAATGATGAGAGCACACCATTGATTGGCTGCCTCCTCCACACTTCACACTGGGGATCAAGCTTGCAACCCAGGCATGTTCCCTGACTAGGAATTGAACCATGACCTCCTGGTTCATAGGTTGATGCTCAACCACTAAGCCATGTTAGCTGAGCTGTAGTGCTCTTATTAAGCTGCCTGAATTGTGCAAAAATACTCTACATGGATTATGTCAGCTCAGTTGCAGACAGCCTTCCAAAGTAGTTATTATGTCCCCATGTTGCAGATGGATAAACTGATGCTCAGAGAGGCTATAAAAATGCCCAACTCACATAGCTAGTAAGGAGAGAGGAAACTTGATTTAGGTCGATGATTCTGAAACTTGTATCCATCACAGTGACCAGCTCATAACAGGTGCTAGTAAATGGTGTCGGCTGATATGCTGATGCTACTGCTTGCAGACTAGGTCATTGATGTCAATGGTCTAAAAGATGATGCTGAAAACAACTATTGCCATTTTTGGAGAAGACAGAGAGAATCCAGAACTGGAACATCCAGGAAGACTTCATGGAAGTCTTGGCTTTAAAGGAAAATAAGATAGAGAAAGAGAAAATGTCCTTCATACAGGGAAAATGACATGAACAAAGGCAGGAATGTGTATAGTGACACTGGAAGCATGGAACAGAGTAGCTGAACTGGAGGACAGAATTCATTACACGAGGGCTGGGAGGTCCGTGGGAGAGGGGGTCGGGCGAATGGGATGACTCAGACTGTGGAAGGATTTGAATATGCATCAAAAAATCAAAAAAGATTTTGATGCCAGGTGAGGTATGTGATCAAGGCACTGTTTTAAGAAAGAACAATCTAATGGCCAGTTATTAAAGTGAATTATAGGGAAACAGAAAGGCAGAAAGATTTCTGTAAGATTCTTATGACAGGTGGAGACATTGTAAGAAAAATTAACATTTCCCAATGTCAACTTCCTAGCTGAAATAGACTTCCTAGAACCTCTAACTAGACTAGGTTCTTTAGTGTTGAGAGCTGCTGGTAGGACTAAATAAGATTTTACAGATAATAATATTGGCAAAGCTACAGTTAAGAATAGTGGCAATATCTTTTCTAAGCATGTGCCAGGCACTATATATATAGTGTGTGGGACACTGGACACATAGTGTGGGACACTGGACACATATAGGTTTAGACCTTAAGCAAATAATATCCACTATCTTGGAATAAGGAGTCAAATCCAACCAATTCTGTCTAACTCCAGTGCCCTTTCCTTATCACTAGGCACTGCTGCTTTTTCTGTAAAACAGACGGAGAGCATAAGAAGGACTCAGTCCCCAGGACAGTGGTAGAGTAGAAGACAGAAGGGAGATTGGGAGCCTGGAAAAAAGAGAAGGGAGAGAGAAGAAGCTAGGTGGCAAGGTCGAATAGTGTTACACCAGGTCTGAGGCTGCCCTCTCTTTTCCAGGCAATAAAATGGGTACAAGGATAGTTAGGATTTGAGTAAAAATATAGACAAACTGTATAAGCAAAGAAAAAAAAACTGAATAATAAGTAAAAACACCCAATTATTTCCTGGCCAGCCTAGAAGTAGGAGTTGGGGAGGGGGTGGTTGATGTAATGGGTGGAAGAATATTTACTACTTACAGAACTTAATGGGGTTTTGTTATTGTTATTGTTCTTAATCAATAATCTTTCATATTCTCACCTATGTTTTCATAATGATTTTAATGTGAACATGTTTTTAAAAGTCTCAGAGAAGGTGCTATGTGGGAAAGACACATGACCTGAGGTTCTTTTTTGTGTGTGTGCCTCACAGATAAATTTGGGCAGCGGGCATTTGTGGGCAAAGTCTGCATGGATATGAATGACACTGTCCCAGAATACAAGGAAACCACTGAGGAATCAATTGAGGAAACAGAGAGGTATGTTCATCTCGATTTGTCTTGTGAGCGGTCCTTCTGCTGCATGATGAAGTTGGAGATGGAGAGAGCAAACCTCTCTGAACCAGGCAGGATGTGCACACGTTCCAGCGTGGGTTTGCCCAACTTTATGAAATTGATCTGGTCCTAAAAAAATAAATTGCATTCCATACTATTTTTGTATACCAAATTATATTTTAAAGCTTCTTGGGACTTGTGTGTGTATTTTTTAAAAAATATATTTTTATTGATTTCAGAGAGGAAAGGAGGGATAGGAACAGCGGTGATGAGAGAGAATCATCGGTTGTCTGCCTCCTGCAGAATCTGAATGTGCAACCTAGGAATGTGCCCGGACTGGGAATTGAACCATGACCTCCTGGTTCATAGGTCAACGCTCAACCACTGAGCCACGCTAGCTGGGTGGGAACTTGTTATAGGAGTGCTAGGATAAGCCCCTTTGTAAAATGAGGGGTTCTTTTTTGAAGTGAATGATTTACACTATCCCTCTCCTTTATTATAGATCTGGTCTTCTCCTATAGGTTGGACTTGCTTTAAGTGTGTGTGTGGCCTGCTCTTTAAGCTACAGTTGACTCTTGAGCAACACGGGTTTGAACTCTTTATCTTACATTGGCATATCCTACTGATCCTATAAGTACTTTTTCTGCATTTCTTTAATGGCTTTTTCATGGTGCCTTGAGGATTTGACAAGGAATTGTGCTGTATGACACTCAACACCCAACATAGAAGAAATTTCTTTAGATTTAAATCTTTCCCAAGACCAAACATGTCCCAATGCAAATTTTAGAAGTCCCACTTTTCTTGATTTCCCCAGACCTCCTTTACCTCTGAAGAGGGAGGCTTAGGAGCCGCCACCTGCCCCAGAGAAAAGGAAGCGTGCACCTTCGCCTTAGCATTGGCCGTCAGCTCAACTTTTCTGTGACTGTGTGTTTGTGGTCACAGTAAACCTGAATTCACATTTTATTCTGAAACAAAGGGAAAAGGACTTCCAGAAGACAGGAAGCCTAGCTAATAAATACTCCCAGCCAGGGCAGAATTAATCATTTTATGGGTCATGCAGATACCACCATCCCTGCACATACCACCATTTCACACCCTTTGCCTTCTACCTTACTCCAGAATCCCAGTGGAAATAAAGGGTGACATTGTGTGAATAAGTAGTTTCTACTGTAGAGAAATTGGAAGTGGAGAGCCCCATAGTTTCTAAATATCTCCAGTCCCATTTGGGGACTCTAACATCCCTGGAACATCACATTTTGCAATATTCCCCAAACCAGAACTTACGCTGGTAGAATGGCTTGAGTGCTGTGGGAATACTCAGGAGCAGCCCAGATGACGTTACATGACAGCATTGCATTTCTCTGTGATTTTGCACTCCATCTCTGCAAACGAGAAAGCAGATTAATTATTGCTTATTCATCATTAATTAGTGTGGTGAAACGTGCAGTGTTAGAGTGTTTGCATGGGAAATAGGTCATGGGAATTTCATGTTCACATCTTTAAAAAGAATTTTTTTTAAATGCCTAAATCTCCTAACTTCCCATTTGTTGACTTATTTCAGATTCGTGTCAGAAATGCTCCGAAAGAACGTAAGTCAACTTGTTTCCAGCTTGTTTTTTTGATTGCCTTTGCCTTTGTCTTAGTCGTAGGATTGGTTATTAAGTTGCTTGGCAGAGAATGGTCTGGGTGCATTTGGCTTCTCCCCATGCATGCAGAAGTATTTTCCTAGAGCCTCGAGTTGTTTTCACAGAGGACCTGTCAACTCGGCCCAGTGAGGTCAAGCATTTTTCTTTTTGCTCTCTTGGTGGTTTTCTCTTCCTCTACTTTGGGACAGTCTAATTTCATGGGGTTAATCTGTGGGAAGGTGGGGGTAGGCTCCATGGCTGTGGACAGATTGGTAGCAACTGGAAATTGAAGCCTGATGTGTGCTGGCTGTGCTGATAATGGTGGTGGCCTACTGGATCTGATCTGAAACACAGGTGGTGTCCAGCCCAGATGCCCCTGCCACAGGCTGCCTTGGTCCACATATGTATGTGTGGCATGTCACATGGCCTGCGGGCACTCAGCCAGGCACTCCCCTTTGCAGGTGTTGGTGAGCCTAGGGAGGCAGTGCTGCTTTCTGCCTCCATCTCTAGCAGTCTGTAGTTCCCTGGTGCCATCGCTTTAATTGCCAGACCCTTCCCTTCCCATCTTTTGAGGTCTGATTGGAAACGACAGGGAAGCTCGGAATTTCTTCCCATCTAATCTTGGGAAATTTAGGTGTCTTGTGGGCCCTTATTCTCTCCATCCCTCCATAAGTTCTTTCCTGCTCAAACCCTCACTTCAGGTGACATCAAAGACAGTTCTGCTAAGGAACAGTCCTTGGGGGTGCCATGGCCAGCACATAGAAAGGGGAATAGGCCACTACGTCCCTTCTAGTCTCCCAGATCTCTCCTTTAGAAGTCCTCCTGCTGCCTCTCATTTCTCTTAATGGAGGCCACCAGGGCAGGTCTTGGCGGAGTCGGGTGGAGCAGGGGTGGCTAATATTTGAGACAACCTCTCCTTCCATTGAACGTGGTGCTACAGAATCTACTCTGCTTTGTCCTCAGCCATGAGCCATTTCCATGAAACCCAGCTCTTCCACCCACTCCTAGAAAGGAGGACTGTCCCCACATATCAAGACATAAAATTACCCAGACGTAAGATATGCATTCAGGGCATGCTACACATTCAGGGTATCAACAGTTCCCTTATCCACTGGTTTTACTATTTCCAGTATTCTAGAGTGAAGCCCATAGTGACACCACGTTTTGCCCTTTCCTGCTCTGAGACGATGCTGGCCGAACTTGGAAACATCGCAAAGACCCGCGATTTGCACATTCAGGTGGGTATTTTTCTCTTGTTTTTGCTTCTGCCAGACCTGCGAGGCTTCTCATTATTCTGCATTCTGGCAATCTCTAATTCTACTCAGATATAGAGGTGTAGCATTATGGGACAGGGAAGGTCCTTACAGATATCACCTAAGTCCAGTTCTTTAATTTTTCGGCTAAGAAACCGGAAGCACCATTTCCTCTCAATCATCTCTGATCAGGCTTGCAGAGATGAGGCAATCATAAGTAATCCAGCAAGGTCAAAGGCAGACTGGCTTCCTGTTGTCTGCAGGATACATTTAATGCATTTCTTTTCTGCTTCTCTTTCCTTTGATGCTTTCTCAGCATTCAAGCCCTTCATTTTTTTTAAGGAAACACCTATTATTTAAAAAGGAATAAGAACCTCATTTCCACCTTACAAAATGCATTTAAAATCCCCTTTGTTCCAAGTTTCTTCATTTAAAACCAGGAAGAAAAAAAGTATATATTATTTTGTCATTAAGCAGGTGCAACTTAGGAATAAAACACGTTTTAAAGCTTCCAGCTGGGTTAAAATTGGAAGTTGGGAACTGGCCTTCCTCCATCCACACTTCATTACATACTGCAGTAAAATTTCCCTTGGCAAGAGCTGACTATCTTACAACAAAGGGCAAGCCAGGGCAAAGGTAACACATTGATTCTTTATCAGTTTTAGGGTAGAGGGTGGTGTATTTTTTTTTTTTTTTTTTTTTTTTTTTTAAGATTTATCTTAATAGGTCTCATTCACCATTCTCATCTTTCCCCATTCTCTTTCTGTTTGTTTGTGTGTAGGTAGAGGGGTGGGGGGAGTGTTGCAGCCTGGGATATTTGGATTTTTTTAAAATTTAATTTCACGGTTGTAGGGGAGGGAAATATTTTTCTTCAGCCTTCTTGGAGTTCCTGTTTGGCTTTGAAAACTAAATGCAAAGATAGATTCACAGGAGGAAAGCATGCAAATGTATTTAATGTAAGTTTTACATGACACAGGACCCTTCATTGGGAAGGAAAACCCAGAGAATTGGTCAGACCTGAGTATTTTTGAACATTACAGGTTTGATGAAGAATGCACGGAGGTGGAGGAATATGATAGGGTAAGGGGTATGAGCTAAGTGTAGGAAACTTAGCAAGCCCTTCTTGTTCTGCTTCTTCTTGGCTCCCTTTGCCATTAGAGACAAGGATGCTCTTTTTCCTCCAGGTGTAGGGCAGGCACCTCTCACATGTGGGTTTTATGACCTGTTTTGGGGAAGGAAGGGTGAGCGAAACACCAGAGTGACCTTCCTGCTTCTGCAAATTCTTTTACCTTAAGATAGCATTTTTCAATATACCGAGATGCCATATTTTGGGGCAGTATATACTGAACCCCATCAACACACAGCAAAAGCAAGTATATCCTTGCTTGGGGTGTATGTCTATATGTATGTGTATTTACTCACATTTATCAAAATGACACACATCATCTGGTTGTTCTTTCTTCTGGTGCCCATGCATTCTTGGTCTGGGCTTTCCTAGAGGACAAGGATGGAGTTCATCCCATAGGTGGGAGACTGTTTTTTAGAATATTGCTGTTTCCACCCCCCCCCCCCCCCATTATTTATTTGGCTATGCTTGTGGAGAGAGGGAAATGGCATTGCTATTCTTAGAAGTGATAGCTTGCTCATGAGTTTCCCATAATATATATTCACCACCAGTTGGCCTGAAATGACTTTTGTGTTAGGCTCAGGGTAGGTTTGTCTCTGAAACACTTCACATGCTCACCTGTTTTGTGGTGCCTGGAGAGAGGTCAGTGTGGGAGCTGGGACTCTCTTGTTTTGCTTGCATGTGAGTCCTCACGGGCTCTTTCTTGATGGCTGCAGAAGTGTCTAGCTCTGTTATTTTCCAATTGTTTTCTGCAGAAGAACTCATTCCGGAAGCCAAAAAAGGGGACAGAATGGAAACAGAGCCCCAACCCTGCTGCATTCTGAGAGGCAACTTGTTTATGCCTTTTACATACTGGATTTCCATGAATTTTTATCAGAATAACATGGCTAAAGCTTTAAAAAAGTTGAAAAATTGCTTATCCAGCCAAACCCTTTTATTTGAGAAATAAGGAAATGGAGTCCTAAATAAAAGAACTAACTCACCCTAAGACCCATGACTAGGGTCAGAACTTGTCCTAAAATTCAGCTCTATTTATCCAAACCCAGTTTTCTTATGAGTGAAAGATGCCATCTGTCCTATTGATGGCCTCTTTTCTTAAAGGACAACAGCAGAAGAAATAGGTGATCACAAATTGCTAGGCTGTTAACTCTCTTTAAGGAATACTTTTTATTTTTGTTTGTTCTTACTATAGTTTAGAATTTGAAAAGACTTGTTGTAACATTACATGGGTTAGAACATTACAGGCTGGTGTAATTACATATTCATAGTTTCTTTGTCACATGACTGCTTTAAATAAAACACATGTACAGTCTTTATTGCCTTTCCATATGGCCCCTCACATCGACAAGTTAGAAACCATCCATAACATTTTAGGATAGGAAGTATAATTTCTAGTGGTATTTTACCTCAAAAATTGAAAATATTATTTCTTTTCTCGTAGAGCCATATAAGTGAAAATCCTGATGAAATTAAAGCTGTGGAAAACTTATACCCCAGTTATAAAAACTATACAGATGTGTATGATAAAAACAATCTTCTAACAAATAAGGTAAGTTGCATTTCATGACATGGTCTCTGTCAAATGGGGCATATTCATCTAAATCCTAAGATTTCAGTAGTGCTCTTCAGTCTTCTATGACGTGTGCAATTCCCAGACTAAAGCTCAGAGCATGCATATGTGTGGGTGTACATAGTTAAAAATGGGCCTGAACTCTCATCCTGGTGAATAAATATAAAAGCTTCCTTGAGGGTGGGAATTTGGTCATTTGGTCCAAGGACATTGTGTCAATATTTATTAGAATGTAACTGTACATTTCTTTGAGTTAGCAGACCATATCTGAGGATCCATTCTGCAAGAAATATGAATAGGAATGTTAATTACATATGAAAATTAAAAAATGGTTCTCACAGGGGATAGTTGGGATGATAGAATTTACATAATTATAATTTTATCCAACATTCACAGAGAATGAGGCACACATGCTTACAAAATTGATGTCTGTGTGTATATGTGTGGGTGTGTGCTTACCTAGAAAAACTGCGTGGAAGACAAACATTGGATGTTAAAGGTTATTCTCCCAGAGGGAGAAAGCAGAAGGACTCTTTACTTTGTATTTTTAAACACTTTGAGATTGCTTTTATGAGTGTGTATTGTTTTTATAATTAAACCATTTTAAGTTAATTAAAATTAATGTGAGTGAGCAGAGAGCTCATTAGAACAAGATACCCTTTGGCCTTGGCCTTAGCTATGGCAGAAAATAAATTCTTAGGGACTTGGTGAATGGAAATGTGACTATGACTAATTTGGAGGGCTAATGTTCAGCATAAATCTTATCCATGCTGCACCTTAATCTTCATCCTCCATAACATATATTTCCATATGATTAATACATTAACCTTCAATCTGCATGTTCCTTTGCTCTGCATAGAGGTTTTGAAAATTATATTTTAATAATAATTACGTGACCACCAAATCCTAAAGAACAAAGCTAATCAGTGCTGAGGACAAAGAAATTTGGAAGAGAAAAGCCTTATTCAGGAAAACTCACAAATATTACCAAGACTGAAAATGAAGAGACGTCTCTTATGTGTGCAGTTCCTGCTTTCTTAGATCAATTTTACCTTCTGAATTCATGCATATAAGATATTACATTTCTTATTTTTTATGAAAATGTAAATATAGGCAATGAAATAACGGAAGTGTGTTAGGTTATGTGTCAGGTCCATGGTTCCTCCATCTAACATGGGGCAGAATGAAAGAACAAATCCTTCCAGGATCCCTCCCACAGCTTCCATGTGCCGAGAAAGGAAAGCTCACTTCTGGAAAGCTCTGATTAGAATAGGAATAAGCACAGCCCCACCAGACACCCACTAGATTTAGAAAGGAAAGTAACTTGGTTATTTTCTAAAGGGGAGATGAAGGAATCACAATATCTTCAAAATGGATGGGTGTTCTATGCTGTAGATGACCTGGATCAACCTTCCTTATTTTATAGATTAAAAAAAAAAAGAATAAGAAAATGATAAGATCTCCACATGTGCTGAAACTTTTGTAATCCAATGTCTTTCCAGGCCTTTTTGAGATGTGACTTGTACTGAGTGATTTTATACAGACAGGTAATCATAAACGTTCTTGTGAAGATGCTTACGGACATCTTCACGCACATGCGAGCAGGTCTAGGTGTCACAGCTTCTCTTTGTTGTGAGTGAGGACTAACTGAAGCATTTTTAAGCGGTAAACCCCACTCAGGACACTATTCTCTCCAGACAGTGATGGCACATGGCTGCTACCTTTCCGCAGAAGAACTGGATGTTTTCAGGGAACGAGGAGCAGCGATTGCACATTGTCCCAATTCTAACATATCGTAAGTAGGCAATGACTGATTGATAGATGATGAACGTTTGAATTGCAAAGCAGCAGCCCTTGTTTTTGGAGTCATCCCTTCAGTATCTCCCTTCTATAGTTATGTTTGATTGGAATGAGAACTAGATAGGTGCATACCTTTGCGTCTGAGGAGAAAAAAGCACTTGACAGGGCTTTTTTTTTTTTTTTTTTTTTTTTTTTTTTTTTTGCAGAGTATGTCTTTTAAGAACACCACATCTCTTAAAATTTCTGAGTTTGTGCAAAACAAGAAAGTGGAAATACCACAGAAGGAGTTCAGAACCAATAGCATTCAGAACTGACAGCAGGGCCTGAGGGGCACAAACTCCAGCAGGTGTTCCAGGGAGAGGGGCTCACTTCCCATGACGCTGTGTTGTGTAAACTGCTAGAAATACTCATGCTGGTAGAAATGATGCAGTGCTGCTGGGAATTAACACCCTACATATGGCATATGTCACCTGCTGGACCGGGCAGGATGCCAGTTCACGTGAGAGTGATCTTGCCCTATCATGGTTCACCAGAATGCAAAAGCTTCATTTATAACGGGTTCTTAACGTTTTGAAAGGTTATATACTCACAAGTGAATCAGATGAGAGTTATAGCATGTATCTTTAGGGGGGAAAAAAGTCCGGAGATAAAAACAGGCTGCACCTAATTTCAGGGAATTCATAGACCCCATGATGCTGACCAATGGATGCTAGGTTAAGAATTCATGGTCCAGGATTAGATACAGGAAGGCGCTCTCCTTTCTGGTATTAGTCAACCCAGAACAGAGCTGCTTCCTCTTAGAGGCAGGTGGGGTGGATTTTCATCTTTTCCAGGTTACTCTTGTTTTGAGTTCTTGCAGAAGTAGACCATGAGACAAAGATTCATGTACAAGCATCTTAGTGGGGAGGTGATCTCAGGACAGAGCAGAGAAGGAAGTCAGCAAAGAGTACACAATTAACCAAGTTACCAGCATGGGCTCCCAGAGTCCAACCCTTCTGGAAATTCCAAGAAGTCAGTGTCCAAAGCAGACCTCCAAGTCATTCTGCCTAAGGGGTGGGGCACCTAGGTGGTTATACCCAAACACCCATCAGCTATTGTTGGGGTACCGCTGTGTGGGGTGAAGAAGCATTGACTTCCTGGAGTTTCTGACCTTCCCCAAACCAGGGCAGAGCAGATTCTACTGGCTGAAGAGAGACCTCGGCAAAGAGTTGGAGGTGTCGACAGTTAGAAGTCTAGGTGTCGGCAGTTAGACCTCATGAATGAAATATTTATGTCACTGGCAGCATGGGAAGGCACGAGAAACACAGCAATTTATTTCTAGAGTGTTCTGAGGGGTTCCAGAGGCTTCCAGTTTTGAGTCATCGCGTGGTAAGGCATGACAAAGAATTCTGCCCATATACAGCTTAGTGATCATAATTATGATCCAGTGGCCAGAGAGGGGAAGGGTTTAACACCCTTTCCTTTAGTTACACAACATCTAAACTGAAACGTGATCCAAATTAAGGACTGAAGTTAAATTTCTTTATGGATACATTTCTGTTTACATGACCACTGTTATTCTTTCCCCAACAACTTTGAGAGTTTTATTGCATGTACATTGCGGCTTTGAAAATTATAATCCATGTGTGTCTTTGAGCGGACCACTTTGACCTTTGCAACTTCTCAGACTTCTAAGGACCACTTTAGTTTCTTCGTTCCTCTAGAAAAGTGCATATCTATTAAGCTCAGGGCCACAAGGTCCAGAATTCAGCACAGGAACCATCTCTCCTATTATAGTTTCTGCTGTCCTCAGGGGCCTCATTTGAACTGGCAGGCCTGGACTCACCAGCCCGTACCCCCTTTTCCAGTTATACTCCCTTTCTTTGATTTTGAAAGTCACTACTCATTCAGGGTAACAGATTCTCTGAGATGGAGAGGAAAGACAAAGCTTTATCATTTCTACTTCCTAACATAGGAGGATGGGTTGGTTAAAAAAAAAATTAAAAAAAAATATATATATATGTATCTCCGGTAAGACTTTTGGACTAATTGCAAGATTTCATTTCTTCACTTGTTTTTCCTTGTAAACAATCCCCTGCTTCCTGTTTTTACTCTTGCCTCTTTGTACCCTCCTAAGATTACTAGTAACCTCTGTGCCAGGAGTTAGGCTCCTCTGTGGTCTGTTTTCATCAGCTGTTCTGATCTGATGAGTGTGTGTGTGTGTGTCAGCATTAGAGCTGATGTGACGGAGAACACAAGTTTCAGCGACATCTCCACCACTATTGTTGGGGTGCAGCTCTGGTTGGGCCCACAATGGCCTCCTGGTTCTGACAGTCTCCTCTCTCTGCAGGCTCACCAGCGGCTTACTCAATGTGCTAGAAGTGCTGGAACATGATGTGAAAATAGGGCTGGGCACAGGTTAGTAGTGCACCTTTTGGGCCATGGCTAAGTGGTTGCTTACGTGCATAACTTTCCAGTGTGACTAATTTTCAGGTTGCATTTCCATGTTAAAAAATTAGTTTCATTTTTCTGGTAACAATATCTTGAGCTAATAAAATAGTGAGAGTGGAAGCCGTGAGAAGATATATGCAAAGGAAGATGTTTTGATGTCACTAAGCTTCTGAAAGCTATTCTGTGCATTTATTGTCAGAGGCTCTAAAGCAAGCATGTCAAACTCGTGGCCCATGGCTCACATGCCTCTTTAATGTGGCTCGTGTTAGTCTTTGAACTTGACATGCTTGCTCTCAAGGATAGGTCCTTTTCCAGAGTTTTAGAGATTCATTTAAAGAAGTCCTTGATTTTTTTCTCTTTTTGTTTTGTCCTTCTGGCAAGGCTTTAATAGTTTGGATTTGTATGTTTTTAGTTTTCAGTAAATGTGCCATCACAAATACTGTCTCAAAAGATAATTACTTGGCCTTCCCATAGCAAGTGCAGACTCAATTCATGCCAGCGTCAAGAACTCTGAGTTATGTTAAGAACTTGCTTCCCTTGTAAGCAGTGTATAGCAAAATAAGATTCCATTCCCACGAGCAGTCTGATGCTTGCTAAGCTGAAGGACATTCTCAATGACTGATAAGTTAAGGGTGACTCTTTTTTAATGATTTTTTCCCCGAATTTGTGCAGTGCTACTAACTTTGAAAGCATGCATCAGAGCCAAATGTCTAGGTGTAGCAACTGTAAACCTTTTACTATTGTAAATGAACTAAATTTTTTAAAAAATATATATATTTGTATTGATTTCAGAGAGGAAAGGAGAGGGAAAGATAGAAACATCAGTGATAAGATAGAATCATTGATTGGCTCCCTCCTGCACACTCTCTACTGGGCATTGAGCCCACAACCAGGGCATGTGCCCTTGACTGGAATTGAACCTGGGACCCTTCAAATCGCAGGTCAATGCTTTATTTGCTGAGCCAAACCAGATAAGACATACATTTCTTTTTAAGTGGGTGTAGGGCACAAGGACTTATTTTCTATTCTTGATGTACTTGTCCTCCTGATATTCAAGAGCATGGGAATGTTTGCTTGTTGACAATAATGATCAGGAATAACTCAAGTCTCAGTTAAATTTATACCAAGCAATTTCTTGGTAAGACACACAATAACACAAAGAGATTTATTCATATTTTAAATAGGTATGCTAATGTAGAAGTTTTTCTTAATTTTACATGAATTAAAAAGAATTAGGTATATATTTTTTAAATTCTAATTTAAGCCTTGAATCGCTGAGATTATGTAATACCTGGATATAGTCACAGGTGCTAAGGTAGGAAACTGGTTTTTTTACCTTAACAGAAAGCTTTAATGGATAAGGAAAAAAACAGCCAAGAGTTTTTGTTACATATAGTCAATTAATTAAAAATTTAGCAGATATGCAAAACAAGGTAGGGGTTTGCTTTCTAATTTCCTGGGAGTTTGGTCTCTATGACTTAAATTCATCACCTAACTTCTAATTCTTGGCTCTTGATTGTGTAGTAATAGCTTAGAACAATTAGGTAAAGCTCTCACTCTCACTTATTAGCTGTAAAACATTGAACAAATTAATGTTCTAAGTTTTAAATTCCTAATTTCTGTAACAATAATCATAACGATAGCTATCTTACAAGCTTATTTTGAGGCTTAAATGAAAAACATCTGACACGTACTAGTCAATAAAGATTGGCTTATAAAGGAAAGAGTGATGTTGGTATATTGACCAAATGTTTGCTTAAATATAATGTATTTGCTTATTAAGTTGGAGAATGCATTTCACATCATCTCTGCTGTGGTAGCCACTCTATGCTCCACTATTGTATTTCCTAAACGTGACCTTTGTGTATGAATTTGCACTCCATCTGTAGACTTTAGAATATTATTTAAACTGATATAATTGACAGAGAGCAGCTCCAAAAGCAGGTCATTCACCGTATCTGTATCAAGTGTAGGCAGATCCTGACTTGCTCCATATTAGAGGAAATCTATAGGAAGCTTAAAGAAGATATTGCAAAGCAAGAGAAAACAGTACCAAAAAAAAATCAAAGGATGAGCATATTTCTGCCAATGACTTACTTCAGGATCCAGAAGAAAATTTCAGAACATTACCATCATCCTTGGAGTACAAGAAGACATGGCACTATGAAAAGACCACAATTTGTGATGGAAAAAAAAAATTTTTAAACTGAAAAGAAAGAAAAAAAAGAATAAGATACATGTAGACTCTCTTACACAGCTGGAGGGAGGGTGAATGCACAATTACTTTGGAGAACTCATTGGCAGTTTCTTAAAAAGATAAATATAAATCTACATATGACCTAGTAATTCCATTTTGGAATTTACACTAGAAACATGAACACATATGTTTGCAACAAGAGTTGTACACGAGTGTTTATACCACTTTACTCATAATAGCCTATCCTCCCAAAAGTCCCTCCTTCAATTTAAGGCAAAACCTAAAAACCTAAAATACCCTGAAGTGTATTTTGTATTCTCTCCCTCTCCTGGTATCTCAATAAATTAATTCCTTTGACCTCTAACTCTCCTGCATCATTATCTCCTCACTACTGGACCATCCCTAACAGCACACACATATTCCCTAGTATCTTCTAAGCAATAAAATGAAAACACACACACACACACACACACACTAAAAAACACACACAAAAACAAAAACAACAACAAATAAAAAACAACAACAACAACAACAAAAAAACCCTCTCTTTTAATCAGACACCCCCCTCTGGCTCCTACCCCACCTCTCTATTCCCCTTCAAAGCAAAACTTCTTTAAAGAGTGGGGACCCACACTATTACCATTTTCTAGACACTCTTCCATTCCTTCACCTACTTCAGGCTGGCTTTTCCAGGCTGGCTTTTTGCCCCACCATCCATGGTAATGATCCTTGTCCTTTCTCCCTTGAGCTATTACTCCTGTGATCTCTTGCTGTCAACTCCAAAGGACACCACTCTGTACTTATTATACTGGATTTCTGATCAGTATTTGCCATGGTTGACTACTCTCTCCTTTGTCCAAACAGTCCTATATCGGATTCAGTGGAACCGCACATTTCCCTTCTTCCTCTCTCACCAGTCCTTATCTTCTCTGAAGGCCCTTTCTCCTCTCCCTGGCCCTTCACGGCTCAGTCTTAGGCTATCTCCTCTTTTGACTTTATGCTTTCTTCTTAAGAGACTTCGTTCACAACTACGGCTTTACATGATTACATGTGAGCAAATCACTCAGATTTTTATATCCAGCTCAGATTTCTCTTTGAATTTTAAACCTGTATTTTCAATTGCTTAGTTTCTCCTTCCTCTTTGACCCCCTCCTCCTAGATCCTCCAAAGTTCATTGTATCTCAAAACACTTTTAAGCCTGGTTATTTTAAATAGCTCTTTTTTTTTCTTTTTCAGAGAATTCAGTTTCTCAAAGTGAAAACTTGAGCACTGTCTTTGAGACCTTCTTCTCCCTCTCCTCTCCCCCATGTCTAAGCCAGTACCATGTCTAACCTCATGACTCCTTTACAGCCTCTGAATCTATACTATTTTTCCACATCAGCCACCAATCCCTAATGCAAGCTACCATCATTTCTGGCATGAACTTTTGCCCTAGCTTCCTAATACATCTCATTTATCCTGGGCTAATCCAGTCTTCTCTTTTCAAAAGAATCTCAATGAAAACTATGGCCATTTCACCTCCTCCTTACCACCCTTCAGAGAGATTTGAAATGTGCAAACCTCATTTCAAGGCGACAAAGCTCTGCACATTTGACACCCACCCATCTCCCAGCCTCTTCTCCCAACACTCTCACCTCCCTACATGGGCTATCTTTCAGTTCCCTTTATGAATCTCACTCCCTCTACCAAAACAATCTCCATGCATTCTGTTCCTCTGCCTGGAATGCCCTTTATACCTCTCTTTACATGGCTTAGTTCTCGTTTCCGTATTAGTTAAAATGCTATTACCATATTTTCCTGCATATAAGACAACCCCCTAATTTTACAGTTAAAACATAGGTTTAGGCCTATATTCGCTGTATAAGACTACCCCCCATTTCCGAGGCAACACCAGTTCTTTTTTTAATAGACCGCCTCTCTGACTTTGGCCAATCCAAGCAGGCTTTTTATGCATGCAAATTATACATGTTCTGTACCCGAAGCTACACTGTGTTCTAGTAAAAAGCCTGCTAGGGCGGTGGTATAGTGCCATCCTAGATTTCCAAGTGAGGTGCTTCTATCCGTCCTCTTTTCTCTGTTCCCTCTGCTGAGATCTGAATTCAGACCACTGAAAAAGTCCGGCTGACTTTTTTTCGTTTCAAAAGTCGTCTTATACGCTGGAAAATACGGTACCCTGAAGAGGTCTTCTCTGACCATTCTGTCTAAATGGGCTTTCTACTTCCATCTTCTTTATCACTAACTGAACACAATTTATAGTTAATACTTGTTTATTTGTCTCTTTTCTTCCTCCTCCACTAGCTGGTCAGCTCATATGGAGCCCATCAGTTTTATTTATGAGTACATATACACATAGAAGATGCTCAGTAAGTAACTCTCAATAAATGAATGAATGCCTAAGCAGTAAACACACACATATAAAATCATTTCCTTTTATCTTTTCATTGCCCTCTGGCTCAAATTTTTACTGTTGTATGGTTTGTTTAGAGTCTTCTTGTAAATATTGTATCCTTGTGCTGACTCTGGTAAACAAATGACAATGCCATTCTTTATCATGACCATAGAGAGGCATGGGTTGGGAATATATTTCTGAGAAAATACATCCATTTTTTCTCCATCATTTCCCATTGCAGTTTCTACCCTTAAATCCTCATTCCCTAGCACTTATGTTTCTCAATTGGATTTTTCCAGCAACTGTCAAAATTGATGATATTATTTCTATTTTCTGAAAAAATTGAGGTTCATAGGTACTAAGTAACTGACCAAAGGTCAACAAAACAAAAAAGTTCCAGATCCACAGTCTAAAACCAGGTCTGCAAAATGTGATGTTCATTATCTCTCTTTTCTCGCTATCACACGGCCTCTCGTTACATGATAAAGTGGGGATGCTACCTGCACTAATGTGCTGCAGGGAGGAGAAACCACTGAGCTCATCCAGCCGGGCAGACATCAGGAAGTTACTATCACAGTGGAAATCCCTGGAAGAAAATTTGACTAAAACACCATGGTTTATGTAGTCCAGGGTTTCCTTTTTTGATATGCACAATATTGTTCCTTTGTTGGAACTTTATTAACATAACAACCAGATGAGCAGAGGATGATTAAGTCACCCTGTAAGGCAGGAACATAATAAGACAGCTCTCAAAATTTTCTCAATAAATTGTTCCCTAATTCCAATGATGGATGTCTTATAAGAGAAAATGAGAGACACTTAAAGATACAGATGGAAGACACAGATGAAGGTGGAACCAGGTATTGGAGTTGCACTGCCACAAGCCAAAGACTGCCAGGAGCCACCAGGAACTGAGGGAAGCAAGGGCAGATTCTTCTCGAAGCCTTTATAGAGATCGTGGCCCTGTGGACACTTTGATGAATGACATTGGCTCTCCAAAGCTGTGAGAGGATACATTCCTGCTATCCTGTGCCACCACATTTGTGGTAACTTGTTGCAGAAACCCTAGGAAACTAATGCAGGTGCACATTGGATACTAATTACAGGTTTTTAATTCCTTTACATGTTAATCTATGTCTAGTCTGGGTGTAATAGATATTTTCTTTGAAGTGTATTAGAGACTAAATATCTGTCACTAAAACAAACAAAACACTTGACCTACAGTATTAATAGTTGGTTGTTACCAAATAGTGATGGGCTGTAAAGTCCAGCATAGGGAATGTAGTCAATAGTACTGTAATAACTATGTGTGGTGCTGGGTGGGTACTTGAAATATCAGGGGTAGCACTTTGTAATGTATAGTATTGTCTAACCACTATAATGGACACCTGAAACCAATGCAAAGTAACATTGACTATAAACTGTAACTGAAAAATAAAATTTTAAAATTTAACCTTGTATATTTAATATTCCCTTTATCTCATAAGGTTACTGTTCTGGCTTTATTTTATCTATCATAGATGTGGCTGGTGGTTATTCCTATTCCATGCTTGATGCAATCAGAAGAGCAGTGACTGTTTCCAACACCCTTGTAATTACTAAGGAAAATGAGAAAAGCCTCACCCTCAAAGAGGTATTCAGACTAGCGACTCTTGGAGGCAGCCAAGGTAATAACCATTATTTTCCTCTAACAATGTACAACCATGCCAATCTGTGTCCTTGGATGCATTATGAAGGTACATGATAGTGGAATCAGCAGGCATCCAGTATTCATGATGGTTGTATCTCACACAGCATACCCAAACTTAGCAAATAAGTCCATGCTCAAGCACGTGGTGGAGGCATAATTCTTTCAGGACGTTCCCTTTATTTTCCAGAAGAGATGTTTAATACACAGTTACCATATTAATTATTTTAATGGATTTATTTGCATTGGTCACATGCAAACAAGTTTTTTAATCAGTTTTTCCATTGAGTCAAGTAATACACTCTATTGCCCTAAGTGAAGATGAAGATTATGATAATAATACTAATAGTAAAAATATGCCTGGATGGTGTGGCTCAGTGGTTGAGTGTTGACCTAAGAACCAGGAGCTCATGATTTAATCCCTTGTCAGGGCACATGGGTTGCGGGCTCAATCCCCAGTATGGGGTGTGTATAGTTTCTGTTGAGAAATTAGTTGATAATCATATGGGTGCTCCCTTGTAGGTAACTAATTGTTTTTCTCTTGCTGCTTGTAAGATTCTCTCTGTCTTTTGCTCTTGGCATTTTAATTATGATGTGTCTTGGTGTGATCCTCTTTGGATTCCTTTTGTTTGCGGTTCTGTGCACTTCATGTACTTGTAAGTCTATTTCTTTCCCCAGGTTGGGGAAGTTTTCAGACATTATTTCTTCAAATAGGTTTTCAGTATCTTGCACTCTCTCTTCTTCTGGCACCCCCATAATTCTGATGTTGGTACGCTTGAAGTTGTTCCAGAGGCTCCTTGCACTATCTTCAACTTTCTGGATTTTCTTCTCTTCTTGTTTCTCCAGAGGAGTGTCCTTTGCCTCTTCATATTCCAAATCTTTGACTTGATTCTTCTGTTCCACTAGTCTGTTGTTGGGTCTCTGTATAATATTTTTTATTTAAGTCAGTGTATGTTTAATTTCTAGTTGGTCCTTTTTCATATCCTCGAGGGTCTCGTTAAATTTATCGGCCTTTTCTAGGAAATTCTTAAAAAAAACCTTATAACCGTGGTTTTGAACTCTATGTCCAGTCTTTTGCTCTCCTCCATTTCTTTCATTTGAGATTTGTTTCCTTGTCTCGGCATTTTCACTGCTTCCCTGAGTGTAGAGTGACTTTGTGTGTTTGGTGTCCTATGTGGCCTTGTGGGTCAGCCTCCCCAGTTATCTGAGGTAGACACTCTTGATGTTCCCCTTTGTGGACTGCATGTACAGCCTTTTTGTAGTTAAGTCTTGATTGTTGTTGGTATCACTGGGAGTAATTGACCTCCAGGCCAATTGGATGTGAGTATCAGCTGTGTCTACTCCAGAATACCTTCTGTATTGGAGACGTCTTATAGGATCAGACTTGCAAAATTGCAAAAGCCTCTGTGCTCAACTTGGATGGGGTGGAGTCTCAGGGTTGAGCCGACAGTCTTGGCTTCCAGTCAGTCTTTCCCTTATGTGCATGCCTCAGACCACTGCCTTCCGCGGTTCCCCTGAGTTTCTGCCTGACAGTCCAGATTCCCCCTGCAAGAGCGTGGGTGCCCCAGGGGCTCACCCGAAATTGGGTTGAGTCTTTGTAGCCTGGAGCTTCCAACTCCTTCTACTATGGAGTGGCTGTGGCAATCCATGGTCAGACCACTCTGTGCGCACTCACTCACGGGAGACTGTAGACTCTGCCCTCTGTGGCTCCCGGCTCCCCCGAGTATCCCAGTCTCTGAGACTCCAGGTGCTTTTCTCTACAGTCCAGACTCCACCCATATGAGCCTGGGTCCATGGGGTTTCAGACGGGGTTGGGGTTTAGTGCAGCTGGAACTGGGGTTTAGTGCAGTCAGCGTCTTCCTTTCCCTTCCTGCTAGCCAGGCACTCAGCTGCCCTTCCTCTCTGCATGCGAGTGTCTCCCTTCCTCAGTGCTTTGCAGTTCCTTTGATCTGTTAGCATCTCTCCTTCTTTTTAGTTGTAGATTTTTTCACTCAGCCAGCTTTCCTGTGGTTTTGGATGATGTCCGTTCTGTCTTTTATTGAGGTAGTTGTTGTTTTGAAATTGTTGTGCAAGGCAGCAACTTAGGTGCTTACCTAGGCTGCCATCTTGGTTTCTCTGAAGGGAACTTTTTATTCTCAGATTTGCTTTCCCTGTGCTTACTCGGTATTTTATAAGTCCAAGTCTAGTGATCGGTTGGAATGAGAGAGTTTTTATGCTTCACTATTAACATATAATTTTTTTTTTCTAATGACATGTTGGCTGACTCTGTCCTTACAAACTGGGACATTGGCATTGTCTGATGGCTCAAAATACTAACTGTTTATTAATTTATTCCACCCTGTAGCCCTGGGGCTTGATAAACAAATTGGAAACTTTGAAGTGGGCAAGGAATTTGATGCCCTCTTGATCAACCCCAAAGCATCTGATTCTCCCATTGACGTGTTTTGTGGGGATTTTGGTGATACTTCTGATGTAAGTAAAAAAAAAAAAAAAAGTTAAAAGGCATCTATTTCCTGAAGTAATCACAGAAGCTTCCTTGTAGAAAACAAAATAGAAACAAACATTTTAATGGAATACAAGAGACTCTTAAGAGGGGAAGTTAGATTTTTAAAAGTTAACATAATTTCATGACAATAATGTTAGCAATGATGGTACTAATAGAATATTTGTATTTTGAATATATTTGTATATTTTAATGGTCTGGGCTATAAGAAGTCATAATATAGCTACCACTTATTGAATACACTTGCTAGGTGCTAGATGGTATAGTATTAAGCACTTGCATACGTAACTTTTATTTAATGATCAAAACAACTCTTATGAAAGGTAGATACTATTTATATTGCCATGTAGTCTGTGGGGCAGCTTGGCTTACGGGAGGTTAAGTGATTTGCCTAAGGATTCATGGCTGGTAATTAGTAATTAGTAGACAGTTGGGATTCAAGCCCAGGACTTCATGGCTCCCAGAGTCTGTTGACTGACCACAAGGCTATTATAAGAAACTCAATTATAAGAAAATGAGTTTTATTATTTTGTTCCTTTTATTATAAAATGCTTCCCTGAATAGAAAAATAAACTGGTTCTACTTACTTTAAGACATTGAGTTTTTCTAAAAACTTTAATTACCATTTATAAATTGATCCACTTATGAAAATGAATATGTAAATATAACATATTGGGGGGTTTTAGAAGAAAGATGCTGGCTTATTTCAGGTTAATTGTTATTTTTATATTATTTATTCTTTTGTTCCTTTATTAGAACTGATTTCTTGGAATAGGGCTCAGCCCTATTCATTCAATAATTTTTCTTATATTATACATTTCTTAAAACATTTGCATTATTTCATTAGATTAATTTATGTAACACTTTTGTTCTAACGTTTCCAATGTTTTATATACCAAGAACTTTTAGGCAATAGATAAACATTTGTTAATAGCCAGTACTTTTTTAAAGCAAAAGACAACTTCTTTTTTATTAATAAAAGTAGATCTTACCATTGAGAAATGAATTTATATTTCTGAGTTTTGCCAACCCTCTACTGACTGTGATTTTACTTTTTCAAATGCACAAAATAATTATTTATTATTATTACCTTTATTTTCCATTTTAGGCTTTTATCCAGAAGTTTCTCTATCAAGGTAAGTAGAAATATGTCTCTATGCTAAATAAAATCTTTCTTTGTTTCTCTCTTGGGCATTTCTCTGCATTTGTGATACCACATGTAAAACCCTATGTGTGATCATTTGCTTTGCTTTTAAAAAAAATAAAATTTATACCCCAGAATACACTTAGGTGGTGAATGGGCAAAGAGGGAAGAAATGGGGGACATCTTTAATATCAGTGCTCTGAGCCCTGAGTGAACTTGGGGTGGGAGAGACACCTATTGTATTCCTTGTGGAGCTCAGTTCTTACAGGCCCTTCATCTCACCACCTACGTGTATTCTGGGCTGTAAAGCTAAGCACTTATTTTACATTTGGGGCCAGAAAGGCAAACCACTCACTTCAGCTGAAAGGACAGCGATAGGGGTCAACTCAGCTTTATGTGATTTCTGCTTTCAAGGCAGATTTCAGACTCCAGGCCTCAAATTAGATGCAGCATCTTCTATTGGTCATGTCCCCCTGTCTGTATTTTAAGCAATCTGAGAGAAACAAAGGTCGTTTTTTTTTTTGTTTTTAGAAGTGTGTTTTGCTTTTAAATCTCTCCTAGGGGCAATTAAAATACTTATTTCAGAGGGGAGTGGGACAGGAAGAGATTAACCAAGTAACTTATATACATACTGTGTATGCATAGACCATGGACACAGACAATAGTGTGGTGAAGGCCTAGGATGGGGCAGGTGCTGGGTGGAGGAGGCAAAGAGGGGGGAAATGGGAGACATCAAAACAACAAAAAATATATACAGAGTATCCCCAAAAAATGTATATACACTTTGAACAATTATATATTCCAATGGGTTAAATCTGAAAAGAAAGAAACATCAATTGAGCTCCCAGCTGTTCCAATGTTGTGTACACCGAGTGGCCAGATTATTATGATCTCTGAATGCATAATAATCTGGCCACTCAGTGTATATCCTATATTATAAAAGGCTAATATGCAAATTGCCCCCTCGACCAAAAGTTCAGCCAGCAGACAGGTCGGCCAACCAACCATATCCCCTTCCCTTGGTCAGGTTGGCCAGACCCCATGCACGAATTTATGCACCAGGCCTCTAACACACACACACACACACACACACACACACACACACACACACACTGAGTGGCCAGATTATTGTGTGTTCAGAGTCATAATAATCTGGCTACTCAGTGTACATTTGGGGGGGTACACTGCATACATTTTTAAAAATACTAATTGACACAAAATGGTTCCATGATTTTTTTTCTTTCAGGAGATGACCGGAATATTGAGGAGGTTTATGTGTGTGGAAAGCAGGTGGTTCCCTTTTCAAGCTCAGTCTAAGACCCTCAGCACCTCCAAGTTCTCCTGGATAGCATGGTTCTGCGCCTCCTTATGCGCAGGCGGAGTTAGAACGTCAAAAAATAGTACCTTGTTCTTGGGATGACTATCTCTTTGTGTGCTTACTTACAGTGCTCACTTGACAAATCGAAGGAAATTGCGCTAATTCTCAAATCTCTGGTTGGGAGGATTCAAAACGTATCCCTTTTGAGCTGTTCAGATTTACTTTAAGCTTAAATATAAGAGAATGTTATGACTAATGGTGTTCTTATTATGAGATTTAAGTAAAATCTATCTAATATTTGGAAACCTGAAGAGGAGAGATATTCCTGTGAGGTTCGATATTCTGAGCTAGTAAATATGAAAATTGGATATGGAAAATGAGCCAGTGAATATATTTTTATGAGGGAGAAAAAGTTAGACTACAGACAAACATTGCAAAATCGTTTCAATTGCTTGAAAATGATATACTATGTACTGAGCTTACTAATTTACAAAGAGAACTCACTGAGATTTAAAATGTGTTTCTAGGTTGACTTCGTGTTCTGGAAATTTGCATTTTATGGAATTTGCATTTCAGAGATTTGTTATTGTTGTGCTTTGCCTTCTTTGGGGACGAATGTCAGAGATTGAATGCCACATGCTTTCTTACAATAGTTCTGCGCTTCACAGTGTTTGACAGAAGTTGGGTAATAAAGATTTCAAGTCTCTTAGGAATAGTATTCACACCACTGCGTGGCATAAATAGTTGTATTTTTGTGTACTTTAAGTCACCTTAATGTATAACTGTGTGATGCTGCTACTACTTCAGTTTTGTTAGAAAAGAAACAAATTCCACTGCTTTGTAGACTGAAGTCTTCATAAATTGGGACAAGTGCAGGGCACTCACAAGCTGTCAATTCTGAAAGGAAGGGTTTCATTGCAATGGCCTAGTCTCCATACTCAGATCAATCTGTTAGAACTTTTAAATGAAGGAAAGTCCTCTTTAAAAAATATTATTAAAAATCTTTAAACCTTGTATATCACAAGAACTCTTATTTTCCCAATTTCATCCTATTATACTTTTAATTCCTAGCAATTTTAGGGCATAGGAATTTAGTATAATGAAAAATATGTAGACATCCCACATAATGTTTATATTAATAGGACTTAATCTGGACCAGACATCTAGGAAGATTAAGCAAAGCAAAGAGTATTTTTATGCCTCCTAATTAGTGTACTTTCCCATAACCTAAAGTTAAAAACAAATTATGACTATGATAAATCCTTTACAAGTATTGATGTGAATGCTATTTAAATACTATGTTTTTCTCCTTTAATTCCAAATAATATAAACTAAAAGGGGAAAGGAGTAGATTTTCCTACTATTTCATAGCACTTATTAATACCTTATAATAGAGAACTTTATGCTATAGAGGTAACTCCATATATAGAGAACTAAGGACAAAATTCTCCCTCTTGCATATAATTTTTATTCTCATATAATTATGCTTATTCAGCAGTAATTTTCCCAGTTATTGTTGTTGTGTGTGTGTTTTTCCCTTTGTGGAAGCACTTTAAGATTTGATTATGCTTAACTACAAATATTTAGTCTTATTTTTTCAGTGGCAGATTTTTATTTTGTTTTAGGATATTAAATAACTCAGTAAATCTAACTTCTAGTCTCAGTAGCAACATTTCCAGCATTCCTTCGTCATGTCAAAGATGGCCCCCCAGACTTCTCCCCATTTCTCTGAAGTGCCCACACAGGAACTCAATTACCTGGTGTCTGACCCACAGGGGTGGGCTTAAGAATTTGGATGAGCTGTTCAAGATTCACGAACAGGCAGCAGCCTTTGCAAGACCCTATACTTGTACCTTCCTCCAGGGTGTACATTTTGAGCCTGAACATCAGTTTTCATTTAGATTTAGGGTTCATACGCAGTAAATATAAATAAGTGTAGTGTCAGAAGCTGGAAGAACGGCCACATACAACCACTTTGTCAAACGTTAAGTTTAGCCCTGATAGTATGTGAAGACCTGAATATCTTGTCTAATAAATATAGAATATAATGAAATGTTACCCGTGCTTTGACCTTCCTACATCACTTAGAACTTATGTGCTTTATCCTCCAAATGCCGTGTTCCTGAATGGTGCATATGCTTTCTGCAGCAGTTCGGGCCTTAGCCATGCACGGGCCCAGATGTCCTGCACTTTGAAATGCGGCCTTTGCCTGATGTGGGTTGACTTCCTGAACTGTGGGGAGACGGTATCCCCAGCCAATTCTATTTGTTCCTTTTTGTTTGAATATTTTGCTCTCTGACAGGAAAGAATTGAAACTTCTCATCAGGCCCCTCACTTCACCCTACACTCTTTTTGCCTCCGGTTTCGTGGTGTTTTTAATGGAACGCACTTTAATGGAATGCCCAAACATATCCAGTAGGATTGGCTCCCATACATTTAAAAGAGTGTTTTTTCAATTAGAACACAAAAGCAGGTGAATCAGCTAAGATGAATTTACTTTTCCAAAGAGCGTGAAACGTGGGGGCGGGCACGAGAGGTTGTCCTAGTCTTCGTGTACCGATGCCATGGAGGCTCAGCCCCCTTATCCCGCCTTTCCTCTGGTTCACTTGTCTAAGGTTTGAGAATCTGGGAGGGTACCTGGGGACAAGCTCCCTTCCTGGCAGCAGGGGGTCTTTCTAAATTGGTACCATTAGCATCCAACCCCATTGACTCTCCATTTCCCCTCCATGAGAGTTCTGCACAGTTAAGAAGGGAAGGAGGTAGGGAAACACTCCTGAGTGCTTTGCCGATGGTGACGTGTGCCTTCCACATCCACATGGCAGCTGGAGCAGAGATGTCAAGAGAGGAAACAATGGGTGTGAGGTCCAGGAACGGACTTTGAATCTTCACTCCTTTCCAAATTCTTCCTATTTTGAATCACTTTTGTCTCAGAAGCAGACATGTGGAAAGCCTTAAGGGCAATCTGGAAGGCATGCTGGGTCCGATCTGTCTTACACATCAGATGCTTCTGTAGCCTCTTGGACATAGTTTCATTGCTGTCCACGTTTTAAAGCTGATGGTGATGCCAGAAACGTTCACGTTTAATAAGCGTGTTCTGAATTGTGAAAAGGGGGACTAATAAATGTGTCACGTCCAAAGTTTTTATCTAAGTTTTAAATGGCGTGCATTATTGTGAATTTTTTTCTTTTTCTAAAATCTTACAAGAGACATTTGAGTTTCCAATGGACCTAGCCATGTTAGGTATGACTTAGGACCCTGACAAGCCTTTATGTCTCTACAGGAAAAGCATGGGAAGAGTGCACAGATGAATATTTACCATTGGGAAACCCTGGCATTGGTCCCCAAGTGGGTTTGCATGCCCAGGCTGTCCTCCCTTTTCCTCCCAGAGCCCTGAGTGTGCGGGCGCAAGCATCGAGGGGTTAGTTCTGGTCCAGATTTAGTGAAATGCAAACATTGAACAGAGTAATGATGAAGCTAAATATAAATCCCAAGGTGGCTTTCACTGTCCTTGGGGATCAAAAAACTGAAGTACCGGATGTTCTGTGGCAGAATTTACCTGTCCATTTCCTCCTCAAAAGCCTGTCAGGAAGCATTCTTTGTTGAAAACCACTTCACGTTTTTGTCAAACTCCTGCTCGCTGCTCTGAAAAATAAATATATATATATGTATGTATGTATTCTTGGGGACATTTTTCTCAAAATTTGTGTGGTTTGCTTATTGTTTATGTGCAGAGTGAGCTCCGTGCTTTAGAAAAAAATAAATGCGATTTTGTGTTTACATTATTTTCTTGTTGTTGTGAGTTTTATCAATCTGATAAAAGGGGATTAGTCTTACAATGTTTTTCTTCTTTTAACATGAATTTTAAAAACCAAACAGCATATTTAGCCTTGGGCTAACATATGTCTTTCAACCTACGATAATGACTATATTAGTACATAGCTTTTACAAATTAAGGTCTGATGTTCAGCCATTTAGAATCATAATGCTACTGCTTTTGACTTCAGGATAGTTAATATTTTACATACCCAGAGCAAGAATGCTTTAACATCAAGAATTAGTTCACATGCCCTGGCCAGTGTTGCTCAGTGATTAGAGCATCAGCTCATCTACCAAAGGGTCCCGGGTTTGATTCTTGGTCAAGGGTACATAGCTGGATTGCAGATCTGATTCGTGGTCCTAGCCCAGATGTGTGCAGGAGGCGACCAATTAATGTGTCTCTCACATTTCTCTCTCTCTCTCTCTCCTATCCCTCCCTTCCTTCCACTCTATCTTCTAAGAATCAATGGAAAAATATCCTTGTGTGAGGATTAACAACAACAAAAACAGAATTAGTTCATATATACATGTGTATTTAAAACAAAAATATCAAAAATAATAATTTTCTTATCTCTGACGGCCTGAGCTATTTTCTCAACTCTTTTATTCTCTTCTATCCTATCCTACCTAATAAAAGAGTAATATGCAAATTAACCCATCACTCCGCTACACCCACAAGCCATGCCCACCAGCCACGCCCACCAGCCAATCAGAGCGAGTATGCAAATAAACACAATCAAGATGGCTACAGCCACAGAGAGCAGGAGGGAGGCTTGGGTTTCCCAGCAATAGAAGAAGCCAAGCTTTCCACCTGCCCTAGGTGGCCTAAGCCTCCACTCAAGACTACAAAGTTTCAATTATAAAAGATAAACAAATCCAAACAGAAATGGCTGCCAGCCCCGGAGTAAGCAGGAGGCTTGGCTCCATTCCAGGCTACAAAGTTTCAATTGTAGAAGGTAAATAAATTCCAGATACCAGGGCCTCCACTTGGGTTGCCAGGGGACATGGCTGGCCTGAAAACCACCACAGGCCCCTCAGGCCGCCCCACACCAAGGGAACCCCCACCCTGATCCAGGATACCCTTTAGGGCAAAACAGCCAGCCCCCACCTAAGCACCAGGCCTCTATCCTATCTAATAAAAGAGTAATATGCAGATTGCCCATCACTCCAACACACAATATGGCTGCCCCCATGTGGTCAAAGATCCTGCCCCTATTTGGACACAAGATGGCCACCACAAGATGGCCAGCAGGGGAGGGCAGTTGGGAGGGACCAGGCCTGCAAGGGAGGGCAGTTGTGAGTGATCACCCCTGCAGTTAGGGGTGACCAGGCCAGCAGAGGAGGGAAGTTGGGGGCAAACAGGCTGGCAGGGGAGCAGTTAGACATCAATCAGGCTGACAGGGAAGTGGTTAGAGAGTGATCAGGCTAGCAGGCAGAAGCAGTGAGAGGCAATCAGGAAGGCAGGCAGGTGAACAGTTGGGAGCCAGCAGTCCTGGATTGTGAGAGGGATGTCCGATTGCCCGTTTAGACCCAATCCCACCAGGTCTAAACAGGCAGTTGGACATCCCTTGAGGGGTCCCAGATTGGAGAGTGTGTAGGCTGGGCTGAGGTACACCCTCCAGTCCCCATGCACAAATTTCATGCACTGGGCCTTTAGTTCTTTTATATTTTATTTGTTTAATTATTTTTATTCTGTTTAATTGTGTTTGGTTTCTTGAACCTGCGCAGAAGCAGTTCCCAGTGTCCTTGAGCTTACATGCTCAGCCTCCATCCTGTGATTTGGGCATGACATGCCTGCCTGCCTTAGAGTCATGAGGACCAAATAAACAAATTCATAGCCAGAACTCGAGATAGCACTGAGGACAAAGTGAGTGCTTACCAGACAGCAGTTATTATTTAAACAAATACACGCTGAATAGAAACAAAAATAATTTTAAATGTATTTTTATCAGTCTGGTTTTTAGAACAGTAATCTTGTGATGCTACAGATCTCTCTGTACATAAAAATATCCTAAAAGGATTAAGTCTGATTCTGGGAGGCACTGTTACCTTCATTATTTTTTATTTTTAACATGAAGCATAAGAGAGTAGTAGATTTGGTCTATATAATAAATTCACCCTCAATGTTCTAAGCACTTACTAAGCACCCTTTTTTTTTCTTCCTTCTAAAGAATAACTTAGTTAAAATACCCAGAAGAGAATATCTATGTGCATAATCTTGCAAGATGTGTGCCTCATTTACACATTTGTGGGCGCTGTGAGTTCTGTAATAGGTAATTAATAGATACATGCAAATTACTGCATGGTACTAAATCCAATATTTAAATAAAGCTTAGACATAAAACAAGGCCTGTGGTGGGGTGTTTTAAGGCTCCATTGGGGAAGCCACTCAGTTAAAGACACAGGACTCACAAGTAGTTGTCACCAACAGGAGCAGGGTTTTTTGTGTTTGTTTTTTTAAACATTTTAAAATGGGATAAATGAAGAATTCTCTATTCTTTAAAGTGATAGAACATTATTTTAATGTGTAATTAATTTTTTTTCCACTAAATCACACTCATGTGCTTTTACCATCAAATCTGCCTACACCATCATGGTAAAATTACATTAAGTTTGTCATACTTCCATATTTTTTCATGCTTCTATATTAGTTGAGTCTATATCTTGGGTAGGAAGGAAGGTCACTATAAAAGCATTTTCTATAGCAGTGTTTCCCAAATTTCTTTCATGATGAGAATCACCTGGTGGAGTTGTTAAAATACAGATTCCTGAATCCCAACTAAGAAGTCCTAAACTAGAATTTTTGGGAACATATAGGTAAAATTGTATACTTAACTAGTGCTCTAAGATAGTGCTCTTAGTTGGGATTCAGGAATCTGTATTTTAACAACTCCACCAGGTGATTCTTGTCATGAGAGAAGTTTGGGAAACACTGCTCTATAGCAAAACCTTTGTTGGGAAAATTTTCAGTGGTAACTCAGAAAAAAACACATTATTATTATTATTATTATTATTATTATTATTATTTTGGCCTCAATGTAAAAAGTGATAAGATATAAACAGATGGCATGGAGTTTTTCTCAGGCCACTTAGACCCCCCCCCCCCCTCAATTGCCTAGATTCTGCCCATCCCTATAAAAAATGAAGCAAACATCCATTTCCCCATCTTCAGCCCTAGAGGAAATTACATTGATAGCAGTAAAACCTGATGTAAGAGAAATAAAGGCTTCTCTTTAGTCAGATTATTCTTTAGTCGCATAGCAAGAAGTTCTCATATGCTTGCTTGAAATCTGACCCTTGTAGCTTCCCTGTGAAATTAATTTCTGCCCTTTTAATCCTGGGCGGTCTCTCCAAGCCAGACTTGCCTTCCAGTGCTGTCAAATGGAGCCACAGCCCTCAGCTGAATAATCCAAGGAAGAGTTTTACTCTTGTGTTTTGTTTTGTTTTGTTTTGTTTTGTTTTCTAAATGTGCTTCCTGGAGCACTTAAAAGACTTCCAACAGCTTTGGTGTTTTTGTTTTTGTTTTTCTTCCTGAAAAAAAATTGATTCCATCTATACCTGAGTTTTGGAACAAAGGTAGGGATGTCTTTGTGTTTGTAAAGTACTTTGAAAACCTTGACTGAAGCACATAGATAGATAATGTCATGATGGGCTTTTGTTATTTCAAAGGATAAATTAAGAGGCTCAGAAAAAGCAGTGGATGCACTTCTTTAATTCATGACAACTTTCCTTCTAGCAGAACAATGAAAGAGGAATCAGGCCTGGCAAATTATGTATTCTGGATTAATTTATGTAACGACAATAAACCCTTCAGCATCATGAACATGTCCTGGCTTGATGCAAAAGCATGTTATGCATCCAGGAAATCTTATACAGTGGTGCCTCGCATAAAGAACGCCTCGCACAGCGAACGCTGCACACAACGAACTTCATTTCATGATTCATACAACGAACTTCGTTTCACACAACGAAGTCGCCCGAGCTTCCACGACCGCTTTGCCCGAGCTTCCACGACTGCTTCGCCCGAGCTTCCACGATCGCTGCTGATGTATTGCATCCTTCCGCGCAGGCACTGCAGGCAGTCGTTAGTCACTGCGCTTAACTTAAGCACGTATCGCGGCAATCGTTCTTCATTACAAATTAAATCACGCACATATCACGGCAGTCGTCCTTTTAAGTTAAACTCAATATTTTTTTTTATATCATGGCTTCTAAAAAAAGCAGGAAGGTGATTTCTGTTGAAATGAAACAGGAAATAATTAGAAGGAGTGAATGTGGGGTAAAACAGTGTGACCTCGTCAAAGAGTTTGGCCTCAGCAAGACCACCATTTTCACCATTTTGACAAATAAGGATGCAATCAAATCAGCCAAAGTAGCCAAAGGAGTATCAAAACTATTTCATGAAAAACATAGGTCTTCAATCCACGAGGAAATGGAGAGGCTATTAGCGATTTGGATTAAGGACAGGCAGGTGAAAGGTGACGTAACAACCCAAGATATTATCTGTCACAAAGCCAAGAGAATTTATGACGATCTAAAGAAAAACGTCCCTGGAAGTAGCAGCAATCAAGATAATGAAGAAGAATTCAAAGCCAGCAGGGGGTGGTTTTTTTAGATTTAAGAAAAGGTGTGGAATCCACAGTGTTACTATGCATGGTGAGGCTGGCAGTGCTGACAAGAAAGAAGCAGAAAAGTTCTCTATTAACTTTCAAAAATGTATTAAGGATGAAGGATACTGCCCACAACAAGTGTTCAATGCCGATGAAACGGGTCTTTTCTGGAAAAGAATGCCGAGCAGAACCTTCATTACAAAAGAGGAGAAGAAATTGCCAGGACACAAAGCCATGAAGGACAGACTTACCCTTATGTTTTCGTCTAATGCCAGCGGAGACCTCAAGATCAAACCTCTATTGGTTTATCACTCTGAAAATCCAAGAATTTTCAAGAAAAATAACGTTATTAAGTC